CCCCCCCCCCCCCCGGCTCCGGCCGCAGAAGATTTTTAAAAAAACAAAAGAACTCCTAAATAAAAAAAAAGAAAACTGATAAGATGTGAGTTACTGAGATGTACCCTCATCCTCAACATAAGGGTAAAGAACGTAACAGGAATGTTGTAATTTATCCCAAAAACAAACCCAGGAAATTCAGAGTTAAGTGTACACTGAAAAGAAATCCAAATGTGTTTAAAATATGGAAATACAGTTGTGGCACTCAAAAAAACTTTAACTTGACCTTGTCATGACACCATGCAGTAAAGAATTTATTTGGGAGCCACAAATTTGTGCTTTCATACTTTTTAATTTCTTTTCAGTGTAACCTCCTAATCTCCTGGGTCTGCAGTGTTTGTTTTAGGAATAGTTACAACATCCATGTAATGCTTTTTACTAGGGCTGTGAAACTGGGGGGGTGAGGGGAGGAGGAAGGAGAGATCAGCCTCAGCCGGGGAAGGCGCCGAGCTCGGGGGGCAATCGAGCCCGAGCTGGGCGGGGGGGGGAGATCAGTCTCAGCTTTGGGCAGCACAGGACTGTGGAGGGGAGAGGTTCAGGCCCCAGCTGCGAGCAGCACAAGGCTGGGAGGGGAGACCCCACCGTGGGCAGTGCGGAGCTGCGGGCAGCACGGGGCTCAGCCCCAAATGCAGGTGGCACAGGGTGCAGTGGGGGGTCAGCCCCGGGAGGCATGGGGAGGGCAGTTCGGGCGAACCCTGCTGGGGGTGGGGGGCAGCTCTGGCAAGCCCCTGGCTGTACTGTTTTTACTGTACTTTAAAAACACCGGGATGGGAACTGCTTTACTTTCTCTAGCCTCTTCTCTTCCTGCCCTCTGGTAGCGGCTTGCATTACTGTACCTGACCAGACAGGTTCTCCAGAGCCGCGCATGCTGCCCTCCTGCCCAGAGCGTCTGCAATTAACGCACGTTAAAAAAATTAACGTGTTAATTGTGCTGTGTGTTAACATACGTGTTAGCGGCAGTTAATTGACAGCCCTACTTTTTACCCTTTAGTTACTGATCTGTACTTGCAATCTTAACTTGCATCTTAAAATAATGGAGGAGATTTTATTTCCTGAGAATTCATATTTAATACTTTTTGAGTATAAAAACTTAGTCCAGAATCTTCAAAAGTGACTAGTGGTTTTTGGATGTCTTAATTTTTTACCCCCAACTTGAAAATCTTAAAGGGCCCTGAGTTTCTGAGAATGTATGCTCAGAACTTTCTGAAAAACAGGATACTTTAAGGCAGTGGTGGGCAACCTGGGGCCCACATTCGACCCATCAGGGTAAGCTGATTGCGGGCCGCGAGACATTTTGCTGATGTTGACTGTGTGCAGGCATGGCCTCCCCGGCAGCTCCCAGTGGCTGCGGTTCGCAATTCCCGGCCAATAGGCACTGCAGGAAGTGGTTGGCCGCAGGGACATGCTGGTTGCCGCTTCCTGCAGCTCCCATTGGCCGGGAACGGCGAATCATGGCCACTGGGAGCTGTGGAGGGGCCATGCTTGCAGACGGTCAACGTCAGCAAAATGTCTCGCGGCCCACTATCAGATTACTCTGATAGGCTGCATACAGGTCACAGGTTGCCCACCACTGCTTTAAGGTGTCAATTTGAGTAACCAAAATCAGTAGTTGCATTTGAAATCTTGGCCTTATAATTTTGTGTGTTTTAAGTAAACATTTTTACCTTTTTTGGTATAAAAACAGTTTTGCTCCAGTGAGGATTCCTATTCTCCCCCCCCTCTCCCCCCCCCAGGGAAGGATATAACAAGTAGGGAAGCAATCCTACATTTACAGGGAATGGATTAGATAACCTAATGGGTCTTTACCCTCTGTAAATTCAGAGGTGGAATTCGGAATGAACAGTTAATAACTTGACCTTTAGCTTTTCAGAGTGAGCACATACTTAAGCTTGTTACTGTTTTTCTTTAAACATTTTATTATAATACAGACGAAAGCATGCAATCCATAACAGTGATTCCACATCTTCCTCCTCTTCGTCTGATGATGAGCAACGCTTTGAAAGGCGTAGGAAATGCAGTCGTAACAGAGCATTAAGCCGGTAAGTATAATTACGTAGCTTCTCTCTTTTCCCCCTTTTGGGAGAAATGGCATCTGCACATATGTAAAATGTTGGTCTCTTAATTCTTATACTGCAGATTCTCTACATTGTGACAACTTGTAGTCAAATCTGTTGGTATATTTGATGTTAATCAATTCCAAAAGTCAAAAATTATCAGAAACTGGATTTGTTTTTAAAGAACCTCTTACATAGCATGTACTGAATTTATTTTGTAGTGTATACGGTTCTGCTGCTGCCCTGTTTACAAGGGTGTTTTTAGCATGGGAGAAACAGTGATACTGTACTGTAAAATGCAAAAGTAAACATAAAAAAAATCAATAAAATGATTTTGTTTAATTATTTAAATACTGTTTCTAACCATCGTAGGTACAGATTTTTCAGGCAGATCTCAGGTGTGATGTCGAAGTAAAATGGTGTTACTTTAATGAAAATTGTGTATTGTTGTGTGCATTAGATTCTTCAGTCTGCCACAGAGCTAGCATGTAACATACATTTGGGGAGATTTGCTACAGAATTTAGGTCCATTGTTGCACAACAAACTTGGGATGGTGAAGCAATTGCAGGCCTGATCCAAAGGTCATGTGGATCCACAGAAAACATTGAAACAATGAACCTATCATGTTGCTGTTCCAATTCTGAGTATAGAAATAGTCAATCTGTGTGAGAATGATTTTCATCATTCAAACTAAGCTAAATTCACAATGTCCAAAAGTGAACAAAGGGAGAAGGTTAGTTAATCCAGATACCACCGAACTTCGTTGGGGTGGGATTTTCAAAAGTGCCCAAGTATGTAGAAGCACAAATCTGTAGGCACCCCAGGGAAGTTGGTGGTATTTAGGATAACTGACCCTCTTCCTTTGTTCATATTTGGACATTGGAACTTAATTCAGTTGAGGGATTTGGTAGTGCAGGAGTGCTTATCATAAGCTTGTATAATTTGCCAAGAAAAATCTGGTTATTTTATTTTAGTCTGTCTTCCCATTTCCTTGACTTTCAAATCAGGTGTCTTCCACTAAACTTTCGGAAAGACGAATTAAAAGGAGTTCACAAGGATCGGATGAAAATTGGAGCAAGCCTGGCCGATGTTGATCCAATGCAAATAGATTTTTCAGTAAGTACTTTGTCTCAAATACTGTCAGTTACCCACTGATTGAAAGAGTGTTAACTTAGTACAGTTTTTCTGTAACTATCTGTTTACCGCTGCCTTTGCACATAAGCCTCTCCTCAGTATGTTCCAAAATTGCCATGATTGCCAAGTATATTTTCTTTTGTAGTTGCATATGAAGTCTATTATTGTAGTGGTTCTCAAACTTTTGTGCTGGTGACCCCTTTCACATAGCAAGCCGAGTGCGGACCCCGCTCCCCTAAATTAAAAACACTTTTTGTATATATTTAACACCATTATAAATGCTGGAAGCAAAGCAGGGTTTGGGGGTGAAGGCTGACACCTTGCTACCCCCCACCCATGTAATAACCTCGCGACCCCCTGAGGGGTCCCGACCCCCAGTTTGAGAACCCCTTTATTATTGGATGCTTAGTAGAGTTGTCCTGTTGACCCTGCCCGATTTTGAAATATGTGATTTGTTTTGTTTTTAACTTTCCCTGAATTAGGTACGATTTGATAGTGTGGGTGGACTATCTAGCCATATTTCAGCTTTAAAAGAGATGGTGGTTTTTCCATTGCTTTATCCAGAAGTATTTGAGAGATTCAGAATTCAGCCTCCAAGGTAATATGACATGTATTGCAACTTGAAAACTCATGTCTCGTTTATAGAAGAATATTGCATTTTAAGTATCTTTTTCATGTCCTAAAGCATTTATGTGCAAACTTTATCGAAGTAACATTAAAAGACGAAGACTTTAAACAGACAAAACCCAGAACGTACAGAGTTTCAAGATTCATATAGTGCCTAGACAAAACCAGAGACGTAGTGTCTGGTCTTTAAGGTAAAGGTATACTCTGAAAAGTGACTCAGTAAAAATGCCATTTTTACTGTCTTATATTTGAGTTTTCTATTTCATATACAACTTGATTTAGTTTACAAATGAAGAGGAATTTTCTAGCTACCAGCTCTGCAAACTTTTCTGACATCTGCAAGTCAGTGCTGAAGAAACTGCTATCAGAATACTAGCAATATTGTTTTGTAATCCATGGAACAAAATAAAAATGTTAGCTTCCCCTCTGAGAGCAGTATGCATTGCTAGCTGTTATGCAGTAAAAGGTGACTACTTTAGATAGTAAGATACTACTACTATATATATAAAATAGTAGTAACACTATGTGATTTGGAACACTTACTACTACTACTATATATATAAAATTAGTAGTAGTAAGTGTTCCATAATTCTGAAATATTGGAATATGACTTCAGACAAATACAGTGAGCAGATATAATTAAGAAGGAGCCACTTTTATATAGTCTTACTACAAAAAAAAAAGACCCCTGCTGAATGAAATGCATGAACACCTACCACAATATAACTTTAATCTACAGCATCACAAATAATTTTTAAAAACCTCAAATGTGTGTTGGGTTTTTTTGTTAGTTTTTTTTGTTTGTTTGTTTGTTTTAATGACTTAACTGCTAATTCTAAAACTTCTAAAAGTATCTGGAAATCTGTTAGTGGTTTTTTTTTTTTGGTCACCTTCAGAAATCTTCCTCATATCATTGTCAGCAGATTCTGGAATCAGCACCTGGAAATTTAAGTCTTTTAGGGGAGGAAGAATTAAACATTTTATTACTAAGTTGTAATTCTTTGAAAACAACAGCCTCAAATTGAATCAGTCTGGATCTGATTTATGGGGTTGGACTGAATGTTGGGCATAGCCTGCTCATGGTCAAGTCACTTATTCTAGGCTAATAATACTTCCTCTACCTTCACCCCCATGTATATGATAAGGTTGTAATCTCTTTGGAGCAAGAACTGTCTGCTGTGTGTATGAACAGTGGCTTACACAATGGGGCCCTAATCTCAGGTGGGGCCTCTATTAGCTACTCTAATACAAATAATATCATTTGTATTGATGGGCCACTGGGACCGCAGCCACTGGGAGCTGCGGGGGGCCGTGCCTGCGGACGGTCAACGTCTGCAAAATGTCTCGCGGCCCACAATCAGATCAACCTGCAGCCCGCATGCGGCCCATCAGGGTACTAAACAAATGGCTGTTAGACTCTTTCTCAAGAAACCATGTCTATATGTAATCTCTTCAGTTTCTGACCTGTCTTAAGACTTCCATTTTTTGATGGTAGAAAATGTCAAATTGGAAATAAGATGCAACCTAACAGTGAGCATAATCAACCATTGGCACAGCTTACCAAGAGAAGTGAGTTAATTCTTCATCAGTTGGAGTCTTTAAATGAAGATTTGAATGCCTCTATAAAAGATATGATCTAGTTCAATCACAAGTTATTGAACTCAATAATGTTCACTCACATATTAGGAAAGAATAATTCTTGGAGTGTATCCTATGGGTACTCCACCGTACAATGTGCACATGCCCATGCACTCTGAGTCTGCAGAGTAGTGTCTGTGGCCTGCTCTTGTGCAGTGCGCTCTGAACAAGGACATATAGGGAGGTGCTAGCCCACTGCCACTCAGTTCCTCCTCAATTGCATGCAGGTCGAGGTAGAAAGGTCAGCTGTCTGCTGTATTCCGCTTCCTGCCTTCAGTGTGTGAATTTTCTTTTGTTTGTTTTAGTAGTTTTTTTTCATTATTTATTTTCATTCAGTACCTATTTATTTTATATAATACTGTTGTGTTGGTAGAAGAGGGATTTTTTTGTTTGCGTCAGAGCACTATTTGTTATGCTCCAGGATTTCAGACCCGTGAGACTTGCCACGGGTCTTTTCCACTCTGTAGTGGACACTCCAGCTGCCTGCAGTGTTTTGGGGACTCCCACAACCCTTCTAAATGCAAGGTCTGTCAGGGTTTCAAATGCAGATCCAAGAAGGATGGAGACTAGACTTAAGCTCTTATTAATGGATCATGCCATAGCTCCAGAGAGGTCCACTTGCCCCCTGTACATCAGCCTCTACAGCTCAGGCTGCCACAGTGCCAGTTGCTGCCTCATCTGCAACAAACTTCTAAAGAAGAAATATACAACTTTTCTTCATTTTCTTGTTTGGAGAGGTATATCACCCTGTAAGACCCTCTGTTGGGAGACCTTTTGTCCCTCTGATGGTAGGAGTTGGTACCACTGCATCAGTACAGGAAAGCAACCCCATTCAGCGATGTCTACCACCAGAACAACAACTGCTGTTGTTAGCACCATCTAATACCTTTCAGCACTGAGAGACACAGGGCTACCATCTGTGCCCTAGTACCAGAATCTCACCATACCTCTGAAAGGGGAGATGACCCCACAATCACTGTGGTACTGCAACAGCCTCTATCTTACCAGATGGTACTGGCCCAGACTTTGTGTGAAGTCTGTCAAAACTCTCTACCTTGTTCCAGGTTCCGTTCTGCATAGGATCTCATTATCTCTGATAAACCTGAGTCACCAGTACTGGAAAGATCCAACAGTGCCACCTCCCCAGTACCACTATGAAAGCAGCAAGTTGAGACTTGCTTAAGTCTCCAGCCTTCGATACCAGTCAGAACACCCGCACACTTTTAGTTTACCTATCCACCCCCCCCCATAAGCATTTCCTATGCTTCATAATAGGGACAGATCACTATCGAAATCAAATTCTCCCCTTTTGGACTCTCCGTGTCCCAAGGGTGTTCAGAGATTCTCTCAGTGGACTGCTCCATCAGGGGAAATATCAGTGTTTCCATATTTGAATGACTGGCTTCGCTGGGTCTGGTCACCACAAGAAGTTCAGTCGACAGCATCCAGAGCATTAATGCTATTCCAATTTCTGGGCCTCTATCAACCTCAAAAAATCTATATAAACTCCAGTACAGAGAATATACTTCATAGGAGCTACTCTCGACTCCACAACAGCAGGAGCCAGCCTACCCAAGAAAAGATTCTCCACCCTATCCACACTAATCTCAACATTAGAGTGCAGTCCATTAACAAAAATGAGGATTTGTCTACAGACCTTGGGCCACATGTTGCCCACCATGTATGTGTTTCCCCACACAAGGATGCACTTCAAATGCCTCCAGATATGGCTAAGAACAATATATATCCTAAATAGACACAGCGTCTCCAAATGTGTGTCAGTATCTCAGAAGGTAATAGACTCTCTTACATGGTGAAGAACCTATGGAGGGTCTGCATTAGAACCCCATTATTTCATCCAGCACTGTTGAAGACCCTCACAACAGATGTCTGTTAGGATGGGGAACTCACCTACAGAGAGCGACAGCACAAGGCAAATGGTTGACACAGGAATCGACGCTCCATGTCAGTATTCTGGAATGGAGACCAGTATGATATGCATGCCAACACTTCCTTTAAGCCATGCAAGGAGCAAGACCCCAGTCCTTATGTTGCAGAGGTGCTAAGGCTGTGAAACTGGTGTATTTCCCATCAGAAATATCATCTGTCTGTCTACCAGGCCTCCAGAATACAATTGCAAACTTCCTGAGTAGACACTTCTGGCAAGGTCATGAGTGGGGGATCAGAGACTGGCATCTGCCAGATGTGGGGGTATAGTAGGAGTGAAATGTCACTCATTCTGCTCCAAGGGAGGTCATTGTTGCAACTCTCTCAGGGATGGCCTGATAACACCATGTCCCTATATCCTTCTTTATGCTTGCCCACCTGTACTGTTGATCCTCAAGACCCTTCTCAAGATAGCTCTCATTCCTTCACGGCATATCGTTCTATCGCGTGGTTGGCCAAGACAGGTATGGTAGTCAAACCTCCTGAATTTCATGGGAGGCATAACCCCTCAGACATCTTATCAACAAGGACCTCCTGATACAGAACTCGGGAACCCTCACCCATCCCAACCCCTCCTCTCTGAATATGAGGGTATGGCCCCTCAGTGGTTCTCAAGCATGGAATTAACCTGTTTTGGATTGAGTTCAGTCAGTTCTTTTACCCAACAGGAATCCCGGTACTTGCAAAACCTACCTCCAAAGGTGGAAACGCTTCCAATCCTGGTGCTCCCTCCATCGTCTCGAGCCTCATGAGTCCTGCTTTCTAAGATCCTGGACTGCCTATTAGAATTAAAAACACAGGGTTTCTCAATGAACTCTCAGGATACATGTGACCGCCCTCACAGCCTTCCACTCACCCATCCAAGGCTTCTCAGTTTTTGCCCACCCTACAACAACCAGATTTCTCAAGGGCCTATGCAACTTGTTTCCTCCTGTTCGAGTCCAGTGGGACCTCAACCTCATTCTAAACACCCTAAGGAAACCCCCATTCAAAGCAATGGTGACCTGCAACCCTCTTCCACCATGTCCTCAAAACTTAATTCCTGACTGCTATCACCTCAGTGAGACAGATGGGGGAGCTAGGGGCACTCCTGACGGACTCACCATATACCACTTTCTACAAAGACAATTATGCTATGTCCTCTTTCTTTCTTTTTCTTTCTTTCGTTCAAAGTCTCCTTGAAACCTGACATTAACCAGGAGAGTTTTCTACCCAAAACTTCATGTACCCAGAGAAGAATAAAAGTTTTTGTGCACTGGATGTCAGAAGTGCCCTTGCCTTCTATCTGTACAGGACTAAACCATTCCGGGCATCTCTCAGGCTATTTGTATCAAGTGCAGATAGGATGAAGGGCCAACAGATTTCAATGCAAAGAGTGTCTAAGTGGGTTTTATATTGCATCTTGACTTGTTATGAAAATGCTGGGGAGCAGTCTCCTCACAGAGTAACAGCACGTTCCACCAGAGCTCTAGTCCACATCTATAACTCTACTGAAGGACGTGGCCACAGCAGAAATCTGCAGTTCTGGTAATTGGTCTTCTATCCATATATTTGCTAAACATTACACTATCGTACCTGCTTCCAGAGATGCTGCTGCTTTAGGTGATGCAGTCTTTCAAACTGTCCTGGACTTACACCATCAGCACACACCTTCTCATTAAGTTACTCCTTGGGAGTCTACTGTGGTGGAGCACCCATAGGGACGTATACAAGAAATAGTAGAGATTACTTAGCTTACAGTAACTTGAGTTCTTAAAGATGTTTTGTCCCTATGTTGCTCCACTTGCCATCCTCCTTTCCTTGTGTTACGGAGTTCTGGCTTCATGGTCAAGAAGGAACTGAGTGGCAGCAAGCTCGGTCCTCCCTATGTGCCCTCATGCAGAGCACAAGGTGCTGTTCTGCAAAGATATGGGTACACAGATGCTACTTTGCAGTCTCCCATTGAGAGCACACAGGGGCGCGCACACATCCTATGGTCTGGACAAAACATCTCAAAGAATTCAAGTTATTGTCAGGTAACTAACCTCTCCTTCTCTCCATTCAGTGAAATTCTATGGCCTTTATTATGCAGGAGATTAGATTTAGATGATCATAGTAATCCCTTCAAGCCTTTAAATCGGTGTATTTAACAAAATACATGAATATATTTTTGTTAAATAAAATTGTATATATGTATATCAAATTTGTACTTATATTTTTATTTTTAATCTGTTATGCCCCCTTCTCTATTCTTCTCTTCTCCCCCCCCCCCCCCCCATCAACCTTCATATATTGCTGTTTTGTTGTCTTACACCTCAAGCTCTTTGGAACAGTGTCTGTTCCTTTCTAATGTATCACAACTGAAACATGGGAACTCTTGTATTTTACAGGGGCTGTCTATTCTACGGTCCACCTGGTACTGGAAAAACCCTTGTTGCTAGGGCACTTGCTAATGAGTGCAGTCAGGGTGATAGAAGAGTAGCCTTCTTTATGAGAAAAGGTGCTGATTGCCTCAGTAAATGGGTGGGAGAATCTGAACGACAGCTTCGTTTATTATTTGACCAGGTAATATTAGAATTAGACTATACACTTTTTTTATTATATGTGGAGCTGGTATTGACATCTGTAATTAAGGTTGCGGAACACTTTCTATTATAAGGCTCTGTTTTCACTTGCTTATAACTTTGCAACACTAACTCTTGTGGCTGAAATTTTCCATGGTGGTGCCTGTCTGAATTTTTTAGAAGTTCAAATAAAAATTGTCCAGATGTTTCAGAGAACATGATTAGGGGTAGATGGGGAGGAAATATATTTTTGCCCTTTTTTTTTTTTTTTTTTTAAATCTTAAGTGTTTCATTGAGAAGCTCTAGTGCCTCCATGGTTTGGTGAGATATTTGAAATTTGGCAGGTGCATGGGGAAAATATAAAAAGGTGCAGAGGAGGGTTGCAGGAGCTGGGATGACATGAATGGGGAAGCAAAGGGAGAAGGACACAGGCTGAGAAAATGTGGTCTGACAGGCCAATATCTACTAGAATATGCTCACCTCCAGGACCTGGTGCTGAACCCCAGGAGTCATGTGTGTCTACATTTCTCTCTCATCAGCAAATAGCTGTGAACTGCCAAAGGGTGTCTCCACTATTCATAGTGGCTGGTCCATCTAGAAAATAACTGCCTACTATTGCTACCAGTTACTCCGTTACCTCAAGTGGTAGAGGTTGGTGCTGTGGCTATAAAGGCCTGAACCTTTTCCTGATGTCCCATATGGTGTAGGAGGGTCAATATGGTTGTACATGATAGAATTTGTTTTATCAGGGTTTTTTGTTTTGGGGGGGGATTTTTTGAATCTGAAATTACATCCAAGAGTGTGTGTGGCATTAATTCTGGCATTTCTTAACTTCTGAGTGCTTAATGTTCTTCTAATGTAGTTTTTTTGGATGCATTATATTTTACATTTATTTATAGTTTCAGTATTCCTGAGTCTGCACTTTCCTTTTAGGCTTATCAGATGCGTCCTTCAATTATTTTCTTTGATGAGATAGATGGTTTGGCTCCTGTACGATCCAGTAGACAAGATCAAATTCACAGGTATTACACTTTTTATATTTTAAAAAATAGAAGAGAGTTAAAATCTGCTTGAGCCTTGTAAGAGGGGGAGGCTATAGTGTTAGTAGTCTTTTATTTTTATGTGTATATATAGGGGCATCAGCATTCAGAGGCCTCTCTAAACTTGAGTAGTAGTAAGTTGCAAGTAATTAGATCTTGTAGTGATACCAAGCTCAGTGTGGTGTTTTAATTTTTTGTAATGTAGTTTCTCTGACACACTCCTATGTTTGTTTGTACAACCCTCCAAATGAAATTATATTTCCAGTCTGTCAGTTTGCTTTCCTTGTGGATTTAACCCTTTTCAAGCAATATCATAATCAGGGCCCCATATATATCCACAGTTCTTGCCCTTTGAACTGCAACATTCTCTTTGAATCTGCCTTATAATTGTGTGGCAATATCCAAAACTTCATTTTAAAACAGTCTTTAGCCTTTATGGTTGCAATGAAAACCTTCAAATGAGAACCAAATGTGAACCAGTGCAGTTATGTCTGCTGTCTGAGTATGCAGCCTGAAACCATAGCTCTGAGAGAAGTGTGACTTGCTTCCATTCATCCGCTTAGGGTGTCCTCTTTTGAAGTCTAAAAACCATCAAGTTAATGTACTTTGCCATTGGTGTATTTTGTGGTAGGGTGAAGTTACTGTCAGAGCTTGCTGAGGTAGAGTTATAAGAAGTTCAGTCCTACATCCCCCCACATCTGAAGTTGCATGCCCCCATATCCAAAAGGGGAGGAAAAGAGGTGGTATATTTTCACCATAGCACTGAGAATCAGCTGCCTACTGGTTGCTTAAAAAAAAAAAAAAAAAACCCACCACCATGGCCTAGTCTGCACTAGCATTCTACTTTGGTATAGCTACATCTCTCAGGCCTGGTCTACACTACGACTTTAATTCGGATTTAGCTGCGTTAATCCGAATTAATCCTTAACCCGTCCACACAACGGAGCCAGTTACTTCGAATTAAAGGGCGCTTAAAATCGATTTCTGTACTCCACCCCGACAAGCGGAGTAGTGCCAAAATCGATTTTGTAAATTCGAATTAGGGGTAGTGTGGCCGCAATTCGATGTTATTGGCCTCCGGGAGCTATCCCACAGTGCACCACTGACCGCTCTGGACAGCAATCTGACCTCGGATGCACTGGCCAGGTAGACAGGAAAAGCCCCGCGACCATTTGAATTTTATTTCCTGTTTGCCCAGCGTGGAGAGCACAGGTGACCACAGATAGCTCATCAGCACAGGTAACCATGCAGGCTGATAATCGAAAAAGAGCACCAGCATGGACCGTTCGGGAGGTACTGGATCTGATTGCTATATGGGGAGAGGATTCAGTGCTAGCAGAACTTCGTTCAAAGAGACGAAATGCCAAAACTTTTGAAAAAATCTCCAAGGGCATGATGGAGAGAGGCCACAATAGGGACTCAGAGCAGTGCCGCGTGAAAGTGAAGGAGCTCAGACAAGCCTATCAAAAAACAAAGGAGGCAAACGGTCGCTCCGGGTCAGAGCCGCGGACATGCCGCTTCTACGCCGAGCTAAATGAAATTCTAGGGGGGGCCGCCACGACTACCCCACCTCTGACCGTTGATTCCGAGGCAGGGGTAATCTCAGCAACACCTGAGGATTCTGCGGACGAGGAGGAGGACGAGCTTGCGGAGAGCACCCAGCACTCCGTTCTCCCCCACAGCCAGGAGCTTTTTCTCAGCCTGAGTGAAGTACCCTCCGAACCCTCCCAAGCCAGTATCCAAGACCACGACCCCATGGAAGGGACCTCAGGTGAGTTTACCTTTTTAAAATATAAAACTTGTTTTAAAAGCAAGGTTTTTTAATGATTATTTTGCCCTGAGGACTTGGGATGCATTCGCAGCCAGTACAGCTACTGGAAAAGTCTGTTAATGTGTCTGGGGATGGAGCGGAAATCCTCCAGGGACATCTCCATGAAGCTCTCCTGGAGGTACTCCAAAAGCCTTGCCACAAGGTTTCTGGGCAGTGCAGCCTTATTCCGTCCTCCATGGTAGGACACTTGACCACGCCATGCTTGCAGCAAGTAATCTGGTATCATTGCCTGACAAAGCCTGGCAGCGTATGGTCCCGGTGTTTGCTGGCATTCAAGCAACATCCGTTCTTTATCTTGCTGTGTAATCCTCAGGAGAGTGATATCGCTCATGGTAACCTGGTTGAAATACGGGAATTTAATTAAGGGGACAGAGGTGGCCGTTCCTACTGGGCTGTTTGCCTGTGGCTGAAAAGA